CCCCCCCCTCCCCCCTCTGCCATACATTATGAACGCAGCCTTAATATTAGTTTCAAGTCTGCATGGAAAAAGCAACTAATGTTGCAAATTGATTATTACAAAGGTGTATACATGTAGGATGAATGAGGCGAAAGTAATCGTTGAGGAAAGGGATTTTTTGAAATTATTTTTTTATCTGTAATGTATTGTTGGAAAGTTTTAAAATAAGTATATACCTGGAGAGGTCCTGGTCAAAGTGCTTGGGGCCTCAGATCCTGGAATGTTAGGAAGGGGCCCAAGTTGTGCTCTTTTAAGGTTCAAGGTGGGATCAGAGTACATTGGGTTGTCTGTGAACAAAAGAGTGGAATCAGATATGAGAAGCTATATTTAATAAACAATCAAATAAACTTGCAAGTGGTCCAGTGGTCCAGTGGTCCAGTGGTCCAGTGGTCCAGTGGTCCAGTGGTCCAGTGGTCCAGTGGTCCAGTGGTCCAGTGGTCCAGTGGTCACACAATCGACGCATATTATGTTTCTTACCAAAATTTCCCTTGATGTCATCATATATTGGATCCTGTATACAAACAAAACATCATCATGTGAGTTTGCGTTGAACATGTGTTCAAGAAATGAAACCATGTGTTGAACAAGGGATCCAGAAGTTTAATCAAATTACTGCTTACCTTATATTCTTCCAGGTTTGCCACTAAAAGAAAGAATACAAAAAATGTCTAATCAAACATTCACCACATATTATTCGATGATTAAGAATGACTAACTATATATTGTAGCAATTAGATGGCATTTGACCCTTGRAATAAGAATTATTAGTCACCGTGTAATAGTCAAAGTCTAAGTAAAGTGAGTTAGTCTAATATCTATTTTACGGGTTTTTAAAATGACTTCACTCTATGAGAATCGCAACGWAACATCGTATCAAGCTAGAAAAACATCTCTTAACTCTTCTTGAACAGAGCCAAAAAATGTAATGGTGGACATCATTTAGCTAGGAGAAAGTATTGTGTTCGAATCAGCTGCAGTCTTGACCTACAGACATTCTAGTTCTGAGAACAAATTATTTACCAAARTGTCTTACCTGAATTAGCTTCACGATCTTTTTGACTGAAATAACAAACGAAAGGACAAATCGTCAATTAATGCAGAAAAAAGCTTTAAATGGCAAATGTTAAGGATAAAAAAGTGATCATGATTTGAATGTACTAGAAAGCTTTGCATTTGAATGAGGGTTTTTAAATTGTAAATGTAAATATAAAAATGTTTAGCAGACTCACTTTTGTTTCTTTTTTCTATATCTGGTTACCACCACAATTACTACTACAATAATACAGATCAATCCCAATGCCCCAAAAATGGAACCATAAATAACTGCAGCATTGTCTTTGTTAGGAGCTGGCGTTTCATMATCACCCTGATTCGTTTTGGTGTTGTTCTGAAAAATAAGAAAATTAATAATGTTAAATAAGAAAAGCAATTTTACCAGTACCACATCGCGTACAGGATWTAATAATTGTCACAGGAAATTTCGAATTTTCTTTTAAAAATAAAAGCCCCAGGTCAAATGTTAATATAGAGTTCGATATCCTTTCCCATGCACTAGGCTGTGCTTCGATCTAGGTGCATTCTCATAACGTTTTCCTCCCTTCTGATTCTGATTCAAATTCGTCTTTGAACACAGAACGAAAGCTGGCAGCTTTAAAAGTGAGGGCATGCCTAACTCGCAGATCGCGGAATGGACCTAATYCACTCGGGTTTAATGTTTTAYCCATTTCAGACCACGTATCACTGTCTTGAGAATAAGATTCTTTGTCTRAGTTGTATCCACATTCATRTGTCCTAATACTAATAATACTCTAGGGAATGACACGGGGTATTTAATGGRAAAACAATGGATTAGGTAAATTCAAATTTATAGTGATTTTAGTTGACTAAAACTGACGCCCTCTGAACTGGAAACTTCTTCTTATTCTCCATTTCACATTTTCTGTTCTACGTTCCCAAATAAATTCCTGCTGCATTTAATTCACTCGCATCATTGGTTGTTTGCTTACTTCAGTGGTTCTGGTGGTACTGGGTACTGGGGTACTGCTGGTAGTTACTGGGTTCGTACTGGCCGTTGTTAGTAAAACGGGTGGGGGTTTCTCTGTTGATGTTGTATCGTCTGAAATTTAACGTTAATAACATTATTTATCGCTCATGGTTAAACACTTTCGTTGTAAAGGTCTGCAAATGTAGAGTTCTTCTCTTACTGAATCGAGTAGACATTTGAATTTTTGCGCATGCGTACTGATGATTTATTTAGTTCTTTCTAAACAGTTCTATTTTAGGAAATTATAAATTGTATTTGTTTTTCATTATTTCGGGATCCAGGGAATCACAGACTGATCAGGAATGGCTTGGCTGATCAGGAAGGGAGAGGTAAGGCGGCCCTTTGAACGCATGTGAATAACCTCTTGCTATGTTCAGCAAACGTGGGRTGTCGCTCTGAAAGTTTTGATATTCCTTGGAAGAAATTATGAAGCAAACTTGAAACAAATCTTGTGGTATTTGTGGGATTACATATACTCAAACCAMCCTCACGGTATTGATTTACAAAATGGTTAAATACTAATGACGATCAGTACTTACATGTGTGTTGGCCGCTGGTTTTGGCCAGAGCACATCCCTGAACTTTATTTTCACACTTAAATAACAATCTGATGAGAAGCCCGGCGTAAAAGGAGTTTATATTCCCAGTCCACTGAAAACAAATAGAAACCCTTGATCTTAATAATGTCACATGGAATTCAGACTCATTCAGACATCATTACAACATGTAACCAACATTTTTGCTTTGATGAAAACTATGGGACTCTTAAAATGATATTGATATTAAAGAGAGCACTACTAGGAAACCCTTTTAGTAGGAAAATATTTGCGGGAACGAACTGTTTACGCTGGGAGCCGTAGAGCACTCAAAAACCCCTAAGAAAAAAATCAGCTACGACGCCTCGCGTTCCTAAGCTTGCTTATCTCATGCTCTAAAACTCCGGCTCTTTCTTGGTGTTGCAGGGCACCTGAGGCATGAAGACAATAAAAGGCAATAGCCGCTGAGAACAAGGATTTTTGAGCTAAACAATACCCTGCAATACAAAAACCCTAACCCAGAATACAATGCATCTTGTAACACCAAGTAAAACCCAAAACTCCWAGCGTATTAATATTACAGTACGGGGACACGCGCACCGTTTTATATTATTGCTTAATTGCGCATGCGTTCTTACAGTACCTCCAGAGTTTCAATAACACGTTGATTATTCGATCCAGGCTTGTCATAACTTATAACAGTAAAAATATTTCCTTCTCCTTCTTTCCATTCTCCAAAAGCATCGCGGTACTCCCAACCCACTTGTACACTACTGCTACATTCTATTATTGTTCTGTGATCTTCTCTGTCGGTGAAAGATACATTCTGTACCATTCCTTCGRTCAGCGGTATTGCTAGTAAAGACACGGATGGCTTGCGTATCGAGTATTCGCATTCTAAAGGAAAATACAATCAAAAATATAATGTTATTAGAAAGTAACTTTTTTCGCTGTAAGAGGATATTAAAATTAACTTATAACATGGCCACGATGTAACGCAGGCTCTGATTGCTTGATAAGCCTGAAGCGAGATGACGCTTTACCCCYGTCTCTACACCATAATCMTTTTCACACTGCTTTTGTTCTTTATTTATGACTATTGTTCCTGTATTCTCTAAGGAATCRAAAATTTTAATATGAAAGAATTTAAAAAACTATTATGGTATAGAGTTGGGGGTTAAACGTCATCTCGCTTCAGGCTTATTAGTGTGCGCGAGCGTGCGTCCAAAAATTATCGAAGGTGCACCCTGATGTGATTGAGTAGCATGTAATAAAGATTTCGTTAGGAACAAAATTGAAATTTATTCGATCATCAAATACTTTTTTTACGGTTTTGCTAGGTTATAAGAGCATAAGCCCTACGCAAAAATAGATATGACACGATTGCGTACGAAGAACTGGTGCTGGCGAAATGGCAAGAATAAAATGACTTATAGTATGCCTCTATTCATGTTAATTCATCCGAAAAAAGGAGCTAGTATTCTTTGGTTAGCACGACTCTTAACTTTTTAATCACTGAAAAATTGCAACTTTCTAGGTTGATTTTCATCAGAAATTGAATTTTTAACTTGATCTGTTAAATATTTACTTTCGAATAATAACTCTAAATCCATAAGTGTTTGCTAGTATTTAAATGCCTGAATGATCTAGTCCCTAATTATTATCTGAGTGATTATTTCACAAATATGACTTGTATTWACCAAAACCTAAGCTTTCGTAATTCGTTAGGTAAACAAACTTTCAGATATTCAGGTTCAATGCTTTTCATCACTTCCAGCAAATATCAAATCAATGACATCTATAAATTTATTSAAAAGGCACATTAGGTCATAATTTTTCATAGTCTTATTTATATAATATACATATTACTAATCTTATATTTTTTCGTTAGTTTTATATTTAAATTTTCCAATTTTCTTATTGCATGTTTTCTTCTTAAGACCAACTAGTAGTTTTAATTTTAGCTTGATGATATTAGGATTTTTAAATATTATTATCGTTTCTAATATTCTAAATTAGTGTAGTAGACTTAGAACTGAGAATAGTTATTTTTTAAATTGTAAATTAGATTTGCAGGGCTCCTATGGATACCAGCTATGCTGAATGGGTCAACCTGTTGAAATAAAGTTATCTTATCYTATCTTATCATATAATTATCCATAAAATACCTACATTGGCTCCTTTTCGAAAAACTGATATTTTCACATGTGAAATTAACATGTGTATTTAAATTATCAGTTTATGAGTGAAAACTTTTTATAATAATAAAAAGCTTATTAAGTTGATTTTATGGATAAATATATAATAAACAGAATATCACATGGGCGGTTTGGAGATACGAAATTTACTTTCTCGTGTCGAAAATCTCTCATTGTTGTTCGCTGCGCTCACTCGTGAGAGATATTTTCAACACTCGAAGATAAATTTCGTTCGTATCTCCGCGCGCCCATGTAACATCCTCTGTATAAGGAGAGGCTAGGATTGAATACGAAAAAAATATTGCCAACATTGGCAGAATATAATCTAAAATTTTTAAAATTCATCATTGCTCTTTTCAGTCTCAGTTCTAGCAAATTGTTATATTTTTTAATTCTTATATACTTTTCTAAAGTTTTGCTCGATATCGAAAATGGCCATTGTCTCGACAACACTTAATTGAAAAACTGACCAAAAATCAACCGAGTTAACCGATTCTGTACTCTTTTAACATTGATAACTCTATAATACTGACTGAAGAATAGTACCAGAGGCTTGACAAATGATGAGTGTTCAAGCAGAAAGTTCCTATGATTATAGAAGACAACTTACTTGTCGAGTTCATCTGGTTAAGTTCGTCCCTCGAKAAACATTTCTTCTCGTTGACAATGTAGTTGGCTTGCTCATGAGGACACTTACATTTACAGCATCCTCCATCGTAACAAGTCGTACCCTGATCTGTGCAGTAACTCGCAAAACATTTGGGGACACTGAAAGCATCGGCAACGGGATTACTGCCATTATGGCGAATAACTTCAACCTTGTTACCCAGAACAACCAAAGTGCTCGAGAGAAAAGATAAAATTGCTCCATAAGTCAAAAATGACATTTTGGAAATAATAGTTTTTTCAAAGATAATTAAAAAGAAACTCTATTTCGATTCTTTCGTCGACTTGAAATCTTCTTTGGACTGTCGCTCGCTGTTTTTCCWTTTAAGTCATTGACGTAGTTGTCTCTGTACTTATACTCACATTCATCGAACCAAATAATCTATGATTTTGTCACTAATTCCACTGTTACGTCAGGTTTTCAGTATTGTTTGATATAAGTGCTTGGGATATTGGATTTAGAACTAGGTATCATTTTTCAAAATAAAGTAGGTATGGAACAGCTACACAGTAAAAACAATTTTCGTGACATAAGCTACCAACTTTTGCTACTTTTGTTTTTCTYGGGAAAAATATTAAATTTCATATCTACACGGAAGTTGAATCTCATGATCACGATAGACGTCAGTCAGGAAATTTTTAGTCTCAAACAGTTTGTTTAATTTTTTTTGTTTTAAAGATGACGAAAAATAGACATAAGGGATTAAACAGATACCATATGGTAGACAATATTGGGGACTTTTATTTTATCCCTTTATAAGGGGTAGAATAACTTTAATTAAAAACAATAATACAAATATTGGTGAATGAAAAACTGACAATTGATACCTAGATGCCTAGCGGACGTGACGTGTAACGGTACTTTATAATAATACATAATAGTGATAATAACGTTAATCGTACGTGCCATTGATTTTCTCCGTTGCACACGCCACACACACCTATATAATATACCTATCTTCTAAAATTAGATAGATTGTTATTTTTTTGGTCAAATTTTACCYAAAACACTAACGGATTATTGTCTTTGCAAATCAAAAATATTCAATTTTTGATATTAAAAAGATACAAGAATGTATTCCCTTCACGAACTTCAGGAATCATTTGCATAAACCTATTTCAAAAAACGTTGTCATCGCCAAAAGCGATAGGCAATATGCGAAACGGCGATAGGATATAGGTCATTCTAAGGTCCAAGAATAGCTGGAATGCTTTTTGTTTCTGCTTCTTATTCTCGTCAAGAATATGGACTTTCGTGTTGAGACTGTTTTAATGTTCTATGTATTCAGTCAACGACGACCATTTGCATGTCGGAATGACCTATCGCCTTTGGCAATGAAACGTTTTTTTTGGAAACTAGGTGCAGAGAGAGCCTGTTGTTGTAAACTGCATTTTCTCACAAACATTTCTTAAGAACGTTAACAGTGCCTCTTTGCAYATTTTAGTTTTAAGATCCTTCAAGATTTATGCATGGTTTGCTATGCCTTACTATACGTCACGAAGTGTCAATCAAAACTGTTTACATCGATACAAAATAAGCTTTCTGTCTATGAATTTATACCTTGCTCCTAAAAATCTATAGATTTTGGTTCAAATTAAAATGATAGTTCAATGTTCATAAATGTTACAGTTTCAGACAGTCTAATATCGCTTAGAATGCAAAAACCTTGAATGGAAATAATATGAATAAACAGTGGATTCCACACAATATTTAAATGACGTTATGCAGGATCAACCTCTACCGGAACTAATCTTATCGAAAGAGGTCATTGCGTGGTTATAAATATTTCAAATATTAATAATATTAGCAATAATATTTGGATATATTTATACTCCAACTACGCTCAAATGTATAATCCTAAAGTAAAATGGTAACACTGAGTTTATGGAAAACCGATTTCATTCTCTTTGAATGAATATTTAGTCTGCAGGCTCTTGATCATTATTACCAGCGGAATTTGCCATTTTCCCGCCATATTTTGTATGACTTAAATTTTTACTGGCGCCATTGTCATTAATAGTTTTATTTCGCATTTCTGTAGTTCGTTTTACCAGTTGAGTTTTCTTTTACTGTCAAACTATAACTTTAGTTTATAGCCAAGTCTACAGTCCGTTAACATGGTCTGCTACATATAGAAGAGTAAGTACGATTTAAAAAAGTATTGAGCTTTGATTCTTACCTTAGTGGTTCATTCAGTGATAGAGCCGTACGCGTTGGTTCAATGGACTTGGCTCATGTTTATAGTATTTTTATTATTTTAACAGTTAATTGCTGGAGTTTTACGTTGATGATGGCATTTATTTGTTAACTGGAAGGATGTTTGATAATCACTATGTGTTCAGTATGCTCTGAGTTGTTTAGGGACGTTAACTCTTAACTATACCACTATTTGTTTTAGTATAAATCGGTTTTCACTGCTGGTGCCGGAGTTTTGGTTCAAATCTTGCGACTCAAGTTCTGTAAGCTTGGTGTTAAGTTATTACATTATGCTTTAGGGATGCGACCAGAGTAAGAAGTGGGGGTAAGAGTGCTGGTAGATTTGGTCATAAAATTTTGCATGGGAAAATGATTTGATTGAATAAATATGGTAAACTTTAGAAAAATGTAATCTAATTCTAAACTCAGGTTAACATATTTCTTTAATACCATTATCAGCAAATATACATCTAAATTTCTTATTCTTTGTGTAAATATAATGTACATAAACAAGAAACAAAATTCAATTCTTCAAAATAAATAATCTTTTGAAAAAATAACTAATAACTATATGAAAATTTGGGTAAAAATATACATGAAATATTTCCAATAAATATTAGGTGCATTGTTATTAATATATGTTCACTAAATATAAACAGTTCAAGCACTTAAATCTTGCTCATTAAAATCATCTGGTTCAAGAACCATGTAGTCTGGAATTGTAGTAGCGTTGTTATCTATAGGCTCGAGGGGTATAGCCTGTTTCTTCTCTGGTCTGTCATCGCTCGAGTCAGGTGTAACTGGTCTGATAAGGGGTTGGTATATCCCAGTGGAATCAACAACGTCATCCTCTTTTCTCTGTAACTGAGCGTACTCATGACTTGAGTTTCCAATTGTATTACTCATGTTATTTACAATGTGGTTTAGGGGTGATATGTCTCTTGGATAGTAGGCAGATGATGATCTTTTGTTTCCATAGTAACCATCTCTGGTGTGATTGATAGAATTTGTTGCAAGTGATTCCATGCTTATTCCAGGAGTTCTTATGATTAGCTCATTATCTGGTCCACGTCCGTACATTGCATTGTCTAACAAAAGGAAGCATAATAGTTAAATATGCATATATACTGGGCTTGCATATGTGCTTATGCATTAAGGATAGCAATAAATGTATCTAAAAAATAATTAATTAATTGATCTGGTGGTTGAATGATGCATGAAGATGTAGATGATCAATGGTCAAGTTATTAATAATAATACTTTAATAATCATATTGAACATTTTTAACACCTGACCATTTGATGTACATGCATAGAGGTGTATGCATAGAGGTGTATGCATAGAGGCGTATGCATAGAGGCGTATGCATAGAGG